AGAGAAGAAATTTAATGAATGTCATCATGTCTAACATCGTGTCCTAACTAAACGTAACCTGACAAGATTCTAGAGACAAGCAGTTTGACTGTTTGCACCAAACACAACAGGACAGAAACATTTAAATACCAGCCTATTTGGTATATTATTAGGCATGGGCCGGTATAAGTTTCTGATAGTGTAATAACCTTGCATAAAAATATCACGGTTTCACTTTGTCATAGTATTACGGTTACTGCGGTTACTGTCTTGGTTAAAAAAAAATATATATATATATTTATTTTAAGAAACATCTATAATGTTTTAGAGCAGTAAACATATCTGGCTAAATAATTCAACTTCTGACTTCTGCTCTCTTCATCACTTTTAAAAACACTTCATAACTCATAACTCTTATGATTTCTTCTTAACTCAAAGAAACACACAAGAACATTCACATAAACCAGAAAAACCTTGACTTGCTTGGTTTTAAAACCTTGAAACCAGTTATCGTCCCATGCCTAGATGTTATGGTAAGGTTTAGAATCGAATTAGTACATAATAAACCTCTAACATTATTAAAGGTAAAGGGACTGAGCCGAAAAGAAAATGAATGAATTAATTATTAAAGGCTGAGTGTCTGATATTGGTTAGTCACAGTTCTACCTTTAATTTTCAAATTAAAAGTTTGCCATTTTATTTTTAAGAGCTGAGGTGAACTATCTGCTGCTCCTCTAGGCTTACTTTATAGCAGGGTTGGGCAAAGTTGGTCCTGGCAGGCCGGTGTCCTGCATAGTTTAGCTCCAACTCTAATCAAACACACCTGCTTATAGATTTCTAGTAATCTTGCAGACACTGATTAGCTTTTTCAGGTGTGTTTGATTAGTGTTGGAGCTAAACTGTGCAGGACACTGGCCCTCCAGGACTTACTTTGCCCACCCCTGCTTATAGGCTGGTATGGTAATAAATGTCACACAAAATAATATCCAGACTTAGATTGGTTGCATTTAACATTGAATAAAGCACATAATCAGCACCTGAGGTGTGCATTGTCATATTAGTTTATGCTGTAATGCAATGCTGTTTTTTTATGCTGTTTTGACATAGCAGAAATAGAAACCATTTCTAAAATAGAAATTTATTGTGTCAGCATCATGGATGATTAGGACAAAAACTAATTTTAACAGGGAAAAGACGCCATTTAACGTGTGTCGTGGCATCATGCCACATGCACGCTGTAAAACAATATCTGTATATTAGCAGTTTTTCACATTTTGTCATTCGTTTTTTATTTTCGCCTGTGTATTTATGCTTTTGGATTGCATCATGGTGCCTTAATCTTTCGTCCAACAGCTTCTAACATTGAAAAGTTAGAAAAGGACTTTTATTGACGATTTTATTAATTTAAAGTGATTTATTGTCTGGGCTGGTGTTCTAAATTATGCTACAAAAACCTTGTAAAAATCTGCCAGTACGTTTATTGTTATTTTACACACTTATTTCTCTCTATATTATCTCTTATACATGATAATGTTTCCAACTACTAAAATTTCAGTAAAAGTTGCTTTAAGCTTTAGAGTTATATTTTTAACGTCAAATGGCGACAGAGTGAAGATTAATGCCCATGATGCATTTGACATCCATAAATAAACAGAAAACACTGTTCATTAACTGATATTTTTTTACAGTGTATTTAGGACACGCTTTCTAAGAAATGCAGTTTCACACACAGTCACTAGATCCTCGTGTAACAATGTAACTGGAACAGTCTTCATTTCAGCTACACTGAAGCTCTAAAGTGCATAGCCCTCAACTGCATGTATACTTAATCCGTTGGTATTGTTTTTGTGTAAGGGTTACACCTCCTTCTGGAACGACTGCATTTCGTCTGGCCTGAGGGGCTGCATGCTCATTGAGCTGGCATTACGAGGGAGACTGCAGCTGGAGGCCTGTGGCATGAGGAGGAAAAGCCTGCTTGCCCGGAAGGTAAGACAGACTGTTCAGAGCCCTGGAAATGATCACACTATTGGGAGAGGTTTCCTGTTTTGCATCCCTCCCTTGATAGTGTTTATGTTCTACAAGCCATTCAAGGCATAGTTCACCCAAAAATCATGTTGTCATTTACTCTCCCTCATGTTAATAAAAACTTGTATGACTTGTAATTCCTTGCTTCCTCAAATAACTTATTTTACACCCTCTTTTCTCAAAATTAGCTACAATATTTGTGAAATATCTGTTTATAAACAGATTATTTGGTGATTTAGAGTAATAAAATGACATTTTATGCAATGTAATCAGTACTAGTCTTATATATTATTATGGAACTATAATTCCTTTGCATTTGTTTACCAGCTTTCTATGCAAGTAAAACTGAGCTGCTTTTTGTTTTGTGTTCTCATCATAAATTAGATAGGCCAATAAAAGTTTGATGTTTAGACTAGCCTAAAATAAAAATAACAAAATAATTAGAGCATGCTTTTTCTGTCATATTTTAGACTGGATTAATATTAAACAAATGTTTGAAATAAATACTATGTTGTTTGCGTTGTTTAATGGATTTCAACATGTTAATAGAAAGGATTCAACTTATAACAACAGATGTGCATTTATTAGAATTTTTACAATTGATAAAACGCACATAACCTAGTTCACACAGACTTTGGCTGAATGCACAAATATATTTTTTCTGATTTGCGTGTGATCGACACAACATATTTTTCAACATGTATTCTCTCACCACTAGAGAGAGTTTGCTCACTTGTGTGTGATTGGAGCAGAGATCCACTTTAAACAAAGATGAACAGAGATGTAAATGCGTAACCATGTAGAGACAGAAATGACACGTCATCATGTAAATTAGATTATTAAAAACAATTTCTTTAATATAAGAACAAACTATTTACATATTCTTTAGTAAAAGAACCACAAATGTCTTGTGTTGTGATCTGGAGCTATTACGAGACTAAAATAAATTAACTTTACTTTCAAGGGGAGTGGGGCAACTTCTAATACAATGGTAGGGAAAACACTGGTTTAGGAATATATATTTTAATATCGCACCATCACATTCCGGTGAACCTAGAAGTGTTTGTCTGTCTCTGTTTTCATGTTGGTGCAGGGAGAGGGCACGCAAACAGGGTTCATAGCCCTGATTCAACTGTGATAAATATATATTTTTTAGACATCGAAAATCATCTGATTGTTGATCAGTTCAGTTCTTCCTATACAATGCACAAACTCAAAACAACAAACAATGCATGGCTGAAATTGGAACTGGTTCAAAAGAGCAAGAGCCTCAAGTTGGCTGAAAATCAGACCTAGACTCTGCCCAGTGAATTGAGGCTCAACACATGCTGCAGAAAACAACACTACAACACTTACTTCATTAACTTTCACTTACTTCAATACACATTTTAGATTCAGTCTTTCCCTAGTTTGATGATGAACATTGTTTTCTATTCAACCTAAATACATTAAACTCACTTTGCAAACATTTTACCTGTCCACTCATCCTGCTCCTTATCAAAGGTTAGACTAGCATTAGAGTTATAGATTAGTTTAGTTGCTCTGAGTGGCTTTGACCAAAGTCTCTAACACTTTGAAATGCTTGATTCAGAGCTGAACACAGTAGCTTGGTATAGGGCATTCAGGACTTATAATCGATAAAAAAAAATTCCAGGGCAATTTCTCACTTTCCCTATCGTGTGGAGTCACGTGACGCTGCTCTAAGGATGATTTCTACTTCTGCAGCCACATCTGATCTCTGGTCAAGTAGGATAATGGACCTGTCTTGAGCCTTATTTTGCACTACGTTCAGAAGAGATGCTGCTTATTTTCTTTTAGTTTGAAAAACATTGAAAATTTATTTTGTTTTTTAAAAGTGCAAGTTATTTATTTTTGATTTTTTTTATAAGATAAAAAGTTGCTTGATTTTAGACGATGTGTGTTTTCATTTCAGTTGTTTAATGTTAATAGAAGATGCGTGCTTGCTTCAATTATTTCAAAAACAAGTAATGCACCCTTCATTAAAAAATCTCTCGCTTGTAATATGTGAGCGATGGGTCAGTTGGCGTATTTGTGAGGAGTTTGCATGTTCTTCTCGTGTTCGTGTGGGTTTTCTCCGGGTGCTCCAGTTTCCCTTACAGTCCAAAGACATGCGGTGCAGGTGAATTGGGTAAGCTAAATTGTCTGTAGTGTATGGGTGTGAACGAGTGTGTATGGATGTTTCCAAGTGGTGGGTTGCAGCTGGAAGGGCATCCGTTGCGTAAAACGTATGCTGGATAAGTTAATGGTTCATTTCGCTGTGGTGACCCCAGATTAGTAAAGAGACTAAGACGAAAAGAATGAATGTGTTAATGTTCAGTTAATCAAGGTTTTGATTTTTGGTCAAATTGCCTAGCCCTAGTTTGGTGAACATTACTCCTGGTAATCTTGGGGACACTGATGTGTGTTTCGCTACAGAGCTAATTGGGATCAAACAATATATTCGGAAATATTGGAGCCTTATTGCTTGAGTCTTTGGGTCTCATTCACTTCCATTGAGTTTTAGACATAAAAACAGCTTGTTATGCTGCGTGATGTCTCAAACTTTTATTTTTTTGTTTATATATTTTATCATTGTATAGCAAGTAGTTTGGCCATTTGCTCCTATTTATTGTTCCTAGTCATTTGTGTAGAATTTAGCGCTCAGATGTCCATAAATGTACAGTTGTGCAGAACACTTTTTACCACAAGAGGGAGCTCTTTGATATCAATTGTGTGTCAGAAGGCCATGCTTTTTTGCGGTTGGTTTTGGCTGCTGTAAGTGAGAACTTTTATTATTAAAGCTGGCTCTGATGTATGCCTGGAAAATGCATTACATTTAATATAGGGGCTCAAATGCTTTGGTCTTCAGTTGAAGTAGTTCATCTTCTTCGCTTGATTTTACCCTCATGAGTCCTTTGCTTTGATTTCAGCTGCGCTTTCATGCATTAGGCATTTTTAATGTGTTCAGTGACTCTCAGTTCTTTTTTTTTTCTTAGGTTATATGCAAGTCTGATGCTCCAACAGGGGATGTGCTGCTGGACGAGGCTCTGAAACATATAAAAGACACCCAACCGCCTGAAACCGTGCAGAGCTGGATAGAGTTACTCAGTGGTGAGTTTTGCACAAATCTTTGGAGTTATTTTTAACTTTAATGCATTTTTTACTGTAATTTTGATGTAATAAATTCAGTCTTTCATCAATATTAAAAAGTCTTACGTACAGTTGAAGTCAGAATTATAAGCCCCCTTTGCATTTAAACAAAAAAAAATTCCCAAATGATGTTTAACAGAGCAAGAAAATTTTCACAGTATGTCTGATAATATTTTTTCTTCTGGAAAAAAGTCTTATTTGTTTTATTTTGACTAGAATAAAAGCAGTTTTTTTTAATGTTTTAAAACATTTTAAGGTCAAAATCATTAGCCCCCCTTTAAGCTATATATATTTTTGATAGTCTACTTAACAAACCATCATTATACAATAACTTGCCTAATTACCCTAACCTGCCTAGTTTACCTAATTAAACTAGTTAAGCCTTTAAATGTCCCTTTAAGCTGTATAGAAGTGTCTTGAAAAATATCTAGCAAAATATTTACTGTCATCATGGCAAAGATAAACAAAGATGGTGTGGGATGGCGGCGGCGTTTCGCGAACGAAGGACAAAAGTGAAGAGCGGGGGGTTGTCGCGGATGAAAGTGAGAAGAGTTGGGGAGTTGTGAAAGTGAACAGCGGATGGTTGAGGAAGGGAATCGGTTAAATCAGTTGCCAGATCAGATTTCAGAGGTACGGGATACAGCGTGTTCCGGCACAAATTAAGCCCTGCTACTATCAAAAATATACAGTGGCCGGTGCTGATCAAAATGCTGGGTTCAAGATCCTTTTGCACTAAATTGGAGAAGTGTGATTTCTGGTACCTGCTGCGGCTCTGAGCTCAGTTGAATACGTCTCCTTTTGGAGAGCCAAAGGGTGAGATCAAAGCGTCTGAGAGAAGAAGCTGCCGTCCTCATTCAGAGAGTGGATAAAATGTGCTCAGAATTATATCAGAGCCATAAATTAGGCAGGCTGATGACTAGCAAATGCTCCAGCACCGCCTGCTTTTTGATCCTGAGATGTCTGTTCTCCTCAGCTTCAGCACAGGAGCTGACCGACTGAGCTGCTGCACTCACTCAACAGACTGAAGCATTTAAAATGAATGCCAGCAACTTATGAAAGATGTAAAGCTGCTGCAATCTTGAAACCTTTCAAAACTATAAATGATGTAATGACCTCTATCAGTGTCTAGACTTGGAAAAACTGTTTGCTTGGAAGCTTGCACAAAGATGCACTACATTAATTTTTATTAAATATTTTATTTTTTTTATTAATTATTTTTTAATTATCTTTTTTTTTATTTTATTTTTTAGTAGGTGGTTGATATTTTTGGGGGATATTTAATAGTAAATGGTCATTTTTATGTTTAGATAATCTGAGCCATCATCTAACTTAATCAAAACTCTTATAAATAATTGACTCTGGCTAAGACCATTTTCACACGTTTGTGGGTATTTTTAATGAAGTTTTCCCCTCCATATTAAAAAAAAATCTGTCCACATTAAACCTGCAAAAACACACTGTGATACATGTTAAGGGCTCATCGAACCTACAGGTGCTGATAAAAGCATAACGCAGAATTTTAATATTTGTGTAATTACAGGGCTCGAAATTAACCTTTTTGCATGGTAGCACCGGTGCTCCTAACTTTAAAAATGTAGGCGCATCAGTCAAAATTTAGTTGCACCCACCAGTTATGAGCACCGTTACTACAAGTTTCTTACAAACATATTCATTGCATTTGAAATCAACAGTAATCAAACTGACAAGCAAAAAAAAAATCTATTGCTATATATATATATATGCATGCCTGAGGAAAATATGTCTCAACGAAATCCCGTTATCACAAGAAAATACATTTTATAACAAAACTGAGTGACTAAAGCATACACGGAGCGCTCACCGGCCCTGCATGCACTGCTTGAATGAATCTGTTAATGGTATAACAGTGCTGTTCCCACAAGTGCTGTCTGATATTGCACTGATGCTTTTGACATGTACTGTACCTTATTATATGCATACGTCATGTTAATAGCAATACCGGTCTTTTCATGAGTAGCGATATTAGCTTATTCAGTGTAAGCCTGTTTGCGATGGTGTACAAAGTGTTAAATTTTACATATTGCTGCCCCTTGCACGGCAGACAGCATCTTGTGATTATATGAAGGATTAAACAGAAGCTCTCGTGCTAGATGTGGCTAACAGTTACCTAAAAATTCCATCCCACAGACTTTTCATAGCGGACTTGAAGCCAATGGAAGTCTTTTATCCGCTCTTGGAAAAGTGTAGATGGTGGATCAACATTCAGCACATGATCACAACTAAGATGTGTCATTATTTATAACTTTAGATGCCATGGTTTCTAAAACAAAATCTGTCAGTGTTATCCTCATTCTCATCTTAAGCGCTTTAGTTTTTCGCGTAAGTAGCTATCTCTGTCATCCCAAGCCAGAAGGCGCTGAGTGATTGACAGCTGATATTAACCAATCATTCGTGTTCAGTGCTAGAGCAGTGGTGGGCCAATAAGAAGAGCGCGAAGGCGGAGCAAGCATTACGGACTTGGTTTGTTTACTGCAGCAAGTTGACATGACAACTGTTTTAAACCATTCCTGAGCACTGCGTTTCGCATTTCAGGTGCAGACAAAGAGCTTAGAGATGCATCCTGTGTGAATGTCTCTCAAATCTGCGCATGTGGTGAACATTTTGCAGTAAAAACTGGTCGCACACAACAATTTTAAGCACTCGCAGAAATGCTCCCAAATATATTTTGAGGTCGCATAGATAAAATTTCGGGCGCATATGCGACCAAAATGGTCGCAATTTCGAGCCCTGAATTACATTGCATACAAATCAATGCAAATGTAAGAATGGGTGGATTACCATCCTGCAATGCGAGCGACCAGGAATACGTGACTTAATTGCTGCAAACATCAGAATTTTCCTCAATGATATATTTTTCATTTGCTGTGAACTCAGCCATGTTGGCCAATCAGAAAGGAGAAAACAGTGAGGAATACCATGAGGAAGAAACTCCAGTTGTAGTGTCCACACGACCTCACTAAGTTTCTGAGTATTAGAAAATCTTCTCCCTGGCTAGAGTTTTCAGAAAGTTTTGGTTTCACTCACCCAATAGATTTTGCATAGAAAAAACTACGGTTTTGAAAATACTTGTGGTTATGTGGACAAGGCCTAAGTGAATTGCGTGGTTGCAAGAAGGTTGCTGGTTTCTAAGTTTGCATGCTCTCCCCGATTTGTATAAACTAAATTGGCTGTAACGTGTGAATGGGATAGAGTGTGGGTGAGCAGGCGTGAGGTGGAGGTGTTTGGAGCTAAACTATGCAAAGCTGCGGCCATCCAGGAATTGAGTTTAAGACCATTAGATTAAGTCGTAGGAAAATGAGTGTTAATTGTTACTCTCAAAATGCTACAAATGTATTAGCAACACAATTATAATGTAAAAATCCATTTATATTTTACCTCATTATCCTCAACATTTCTGGTCCAGATAACTTTTGCAGTTATTCATCTCAATCTTGATTTATGTATGTCTAATAAGCGTTTTACAGATAATCACAACCCTGATGTCTACTTTAGCAATCAGAATTGAGTTGGAGTTTCAAATGAATGTATCATGCACACCAGTTGGAGGTAAAGTTTTGAAAGCGATTAGAACTTAGAGTGGCAATGAGGTCTTAAAATATTCTGAGAAGGTCTTTAAAAAGGTATTGAAATGACCTTTAGGATTGCTGCATATACCCAGTGATACTTAACATTTAGGTTACAGCTGCAGAGCAATTTGTGAAAAGATGCGTAACATCTATATGAAAGATGACTTCATGCTGTAGTTACAAATAAAATATTTCTAGTATAAGGAGGATGCTAAATTCATCTACATTTCTGCCAAATGAACCACAAATCACTGAATGTTTTATACTGAAAGTGTTTTGTCTTTCACAGGTGAAACATGGAACCCATTAAAGCTTCATTATCAGCTGCGTAATGTTCGAGAGCGCCTGGCCAAAAACCTGGTGGAGAAAGGTGTCCTCACCACAGAGAAACAAAACTTTCTTCTTTTCGACATGACCACACACCCCCTCACCAACAATAATATAAAGCAGCGCCTTATAAAGAAAGTGCAGGAGTCCGTGCTGGAAAAGTGGGTGAACGACCCTCACCGAATGGACAAGCGCCTTCTGGCCCTAATATTCCTGGCCCATTCGTCTGACGTCCTGGAGAATGCGTTCGCCCCGCTGCTGGATGACCAATACGATCTGGCCATGAAGAGAGTACGACAGCTGCTGGACCTGGAGCCTGAGGGCGAGAGCATGAAGAACAACGCCAATGAGCTGCTGTGGGCGGTGGTGGCCGCCTTCACCAAATGAAGCAGCTTGACTTCTGACAAATATGACGTTTGGACTGGTAAAATCAGGTTTGAGAAGTGGTGGATGAAAGTGGAGTCTCGGTGTCTTTCCTTCCTTGTAGATAAATCTCCCTCCCTTACTTTTCTCCCTGCAAGATCTATCATTGGGTTTCTCTCTCTTGTTGGAAAAGGGGACCAGTTTATTTTGAGTGCCGATGGGTTCCTTCTCACTGTACTGTTGAGATTTACGTTTTAGTATCGCTGCACAAAATGGCTTGTTTTTGTTTTTCAATGTTTTCATGCTTGGATATCTGCGTCGGTTATTGACCGACTAGAAAATATTCAAGAATTTGATTTATGTTTTGTCATCTAATTGGGATCCATTTGTGACGGAAGCTGTGTACATTGCACAGTGGTACGGCTCAACCGTTGCTAATCTGAAAATAAATACACTAGTGTATATTTTTTAATTCGATTTGTTGTCCGTTTGTTGTCTAATAACGAAGGCTGAAAAGTAACCAAAAAAAGGTCATCAGAGTTAGTCCTGTTGGAATGACAGATAAGTTATTTGTGGAAAGGGTGCTAATGCTAACAGCTAACATTCACGCTGCTGAAACAAAAGCCCTGTTTACACCTATGTTTTGGTCAATCAGATTGGGTGTTTAAATCCATCTCCTTTGTCCAGACTACTTTGTCTCTATAAGCAGTAATGCTGTGGTGAGAAATTGATTCCCTGATATTCAAAATGCATTGTTTTTCACTAAATAGATTCTGAGCTTAGTTTTAACAGGAGACGGCGCTGTTTGATTTACTCTCCTTGCTTTCAGTTCCTTATAAATACCACTTGAACTTAAAATGATTAAATAACAAAATTTTTTTCAAGAATTACAAAATTGATTATCGTAAACTGACCAAACTTGCCTGACTCGGCGAATGCACAGCCACTCTTTCTGGAGAGCATTTAAGTATATGTTTATAAACGAGGCTAGAGTGCCACCTACTGTTAAAACTGCTCAAAGTTCAGAATTTATTGAACAGTAATGTGTTAAGAAAATTTTCGATTTGATGCAAAATCAATTTCTTGAATTATTTTTTATTTCCACAGCTCTATGTTGGGACAGAAAGTTTAATAGGATTTTTGCACGGTTTACATACAAGTGTGAAAGGAGATGATGAAAAACGATACTGACTTTGTTCTAATAGACACGAAACTATGCAGAACATTTCCTCAATGAATTTACATTGAGGTTTAGGAGAATAGTTGAAAGACGTTACACTACATTAGTGTTTACACTTTGAGAGTCAAATGTGTTTTCGCCTGTATTTAAAGGAAAAGAAAATTTGACCGATTGATGAAAACGTCTCTTAAAGGTATAGTTCACCCAAAAATTAAAATTCTGTCTTTTACTCAACGTTCACTTGTTCAAAACTTCTTTGAGTTTCTCATACTTGTCAACATTGGGATGTAAAAATACAAGATACCCTTCGAGAAATAAAATCAAGTCATAAAATCACTTTTTATTCACTGTAAATATTGATTAAAGTTATTTTAGTTGTTTAGTGAAGAGAAATGAATCTCTCATTTTGATCCACTGTTTTTCTTTTTTATAACAGAGGTGTCCCTTTAAGAATCCACAGATTACTTTCGTAACCGTTTATGCTCATTTAAGATAAAATTATTTGTTTTTAAAATGAAACACGCCAGGACAGATATGTTCACATATTATTGGGTGAATTTGTTCGTTTAAAAACACACCCAAACTGTGATTGGCTGTGAAGGCCATCGGTTCACAGAACTCACCACTGTTTACTGCATGTAACCACAGATACAGGGACACTGAATCGACATTTGAGCGCTCGTATGTCAGTTTATAGACAAACCACCTGATCAGCGTGACGCTCCAGGGATTGAGATCGACAACAAGACTTCAGGTAGTGAAATATTAATTTCATCATGCTTTCAAACCATATATATATGGTTTATATATATATATATATATAAAGTGAAAGCATAATTCTCTCGAACAACTCTTGCAATTATATCACGTTTGAGATCGGCTCTTTGATGCTACGCTCACTTTTCATAGAAATATTAAAAATACAGGAGAAATACTTGACAATATTTAAACAGTGGAATAGAATGGTAAAATACCAATCTGATCTCATGAGAGAACAAAAGTATTTTACGTTTTGGCAGTTTAGTGGCTAATTCGTTACGAGTTCAGCCGTAAGAAATTGTACGATTTTAAAAAGGAGGCCTGGCACCTAACCCCACCCCTAAACCCAACCGTCATTGGGGGATGAGCAAATCGTACTAAAATGTTCAAATTAGATCGTACGAATTAGCCACTACATGAAAAAGTTACAAATTGCAGTCAGATTGTGTTGAAAATACAGGAGAATCACGTCAAAACTGAATCGTTGACGGGTATATTCTGTTAAACACAAAAGAAAATATTTTTTTAAAAATGCTGGTTGCTGGCACCAATCAACTTCCATATTAGAGGAAAAAATACAATGGAAGTCAATGGATGGCAGCAACCAGAAAGTATCTTCTTTTGTGTTCAACTAAAGAATGGAACTCAAAAGTTTAAAACGACGTGAGGGAAAGTAAATATTGAGGTCATTTTTATTTTCAGGTGAACTGTACGAGGTGTGAACAGGGCCAAAATGCAGTGTTTTGTTGACTAGTAAGTAAAAATGTATATAAGGAAAACAAACGGTTGTTCTAAGATTGTCTGTCTGTTATTTATTAGTTGGGTTATGTTTTTATTTTTGGCTACCACACCATCTCAAATCCATAAACATCCCAGAAATGCTTCAAACTCTACCTCTTCACACATTTGCTGTCGTGATTCCTCTCTCGCGTTACTTCAAGGTTGATTTACAATACTTTCATGTGCCTGAGATTGGTTGCAGAATGAGGTGCTGTATGGACTGTAGCTCTTTGTGGCATTAATGGAGTTCCATTCAGAAAACATTTGTTACTCACTCGCTCCGCAGTCTTCATTCATATATGCCTACCCAAAATAAATTTCAGGACCACAAGAGTTTACTTTCACAGAATCTGTGTCCTCCCTTAAAATAAACACATCTGCATTGCAAACAGACTTGTTTTTCTTCAATATTTCTCCATTGACTTATCTAGAGGTTTGCACAAATCCTCCTGGTTTTACGGTGGAGTTCTGAATGTCAAATGGTTTTCATTTCATTTACTCTCACCTCTAAACAAGAATAGGATTTTAAAAAAAGAATAAATGTGTGTATATATATATATATATAGACTTTAAAATGTGACTTTTATATGTAAGAGCAGATTCCGCCATTTTATCGAGTCAGTATATTTTTGATAGTATTTTATTACCATTAGCAGTTTGGCGATAGTTACGTAAGATGGATTGACATTGCATTGTCACAATCTAGTTTGATCTGTACAGCAGATAATTTCTTCTGTGTTCATGCTGCTTACTATACAATCTGTATCAATCTTCTTCATTTTGCCTGGCATGTTACAGTTAGCACAAGCATGCCTTAATTTTGTTTTTACACAGCGAAGATCTTTGGAGAAAAACGCCTTCGTTCAATCATGTTTGTTCATTATGTTGATTTTTATTGATTTGTATAGCAATAATCCACATGCTTTTTTGTTTTGCTCTTTGTTCTTCGCCATGGTGGTAAATGCTTGCTTCACAATAGTTAATTGTATGTAGCGATGGTCTGGGAAATCCACCAATTGTTTTGAAGAGTCGACTTGAGACATGGGGGATTTTTCTTTTTCTTTTTTTTAAGTGTCAGGACAGTAAAAGAGAATGAAAATCATGTGTGTAGCTTTAGCACTCACTATAAAGGGACCCCAATGTATATACTTTCTTATTACCATGAAATAAACTATGGTCTTGAAAGTGCCTCAAACATCATTTGTTATTTATTTTGTGAAGAAGAACGTGTTGATTTTGATGCATCTCACATACGGAAGACAAACGTTCTGTACACTTAAAAAGAAATTTTTTTTTACACTTTTTTAATGTTTTTTTTTTTATACTTTCAGAAATAAAGGTACTCGAGCTGTCACCTTTTCAAAAGTACCTGTGGGTACCTTTTCAAAGGGTACATATTTGTATTTAAAGGGTCCATATTGGTACCTCAAAAGTATATATTAATATATACAAATTTTAAAAGGAACACTTTTGTACTTTTTGGGTACTAATATGAACCCTTGAGGTATTAATATGGACCATTTTAGGGACACATTGGTACCTTTTGAAAAGGTACCACCCCAGTGACAGCTCACATACCTTTATTTCTGAGAGTGTTGCCATTCAATAAGTGAAGTTCATTAATAAGCTATGAAATGATCACATGCTAGTTATTGATCACAGCTGGTCAATTCATGATTCACCAATCAGACGATTCCTAAGTCATCATAAATAATCCATACTATATCTTCGTTTTAAAGAATCTTCCCTTCCACCCCTACTTTTTTTCTAGATGGGTGGCCTGGCAGCCCAGTGGTTAGCACTGTTGCCTCACAGCAACAATGTCACTGATTCTAGTCCTTACCAAGCCAGTTGACATTTCTGTGCAGACTTAACATGTTCTCCCTATGCTCACGTGTGTTTCCCCTGGGTCCCCTGGTTTCCTACCACCATCCAAAAACCATGCGACTTAAGTTAATTGAATTTGAAGAACCTAAACGAAAATTATAAATGAATAAAAGAAAAATGATTGAAAAGGGTTATTATAAAAGAAAATTAAACTAAATTGAATTGTGTAAAAAACATTTGACAATACAGATAATAATATTATGAAAAGTTAATTGAGTTATTATTTCTAAAACAAACATTATTGATGTAATTTTATTTTGAAATCTTTGAATTTACAACTTATGATAACTTAGTAATAGTCACCTAATTATTTATTTTTCACAAAAAAACATAAATATTGCTCTTAAGAAGTCAGACTAATGAAATTCATTTTAACTGCAAACCTTTCACTTTTCTTTAAGGTTATTATATATATATATATATATATATATATATATATATATATATATATATATATATATATATATATATATATATATATATATATATATATATATTTTTTTTGTATCTCTTAAAAAGAAATTATGTTGCCTAAAAAAATAACTGTACAAAACATGAGCAATTGAGGGTCTGATGTATTTGAAAGTTTTGCTCATTTACTAAATGATATGATTTAAAATTAACGAAAAAAAAAAATTAAAATAGGCAATATTGAATCTGGTTCCATGATGATTTATTAGTATTATTATTTATTCCTGTGATGACAAAGCTGTTTATCAGTACTTTGTATATTTGGTTCTCTAGAAGCATTACCAATGTTGAAAGTCATTGTGCTGATAATTTTTGTGTGGAAAATGGTATGCAATTTAGGTCCTTTTACTCAAAATTGACGTTTGCTGTTTGTTCAAACTACTTATATAGAATAAGCAGA